TGGTTTCCATAGTTTTGCTACTGCTTTATCCAAGGCTTTGGTGTCCCACGAGGATAGCGACTTGCAAATCGTGAGATTATCGAGCCAACCTCCTCCACCTCAGAACCCTCCCCACGTCCCTCTTAGCTATTTTGTCCTTAGCTGTGCAAACATGCGTCCTGACTGGGGGGCAATATTTTTGCGGAGAAACTACACGGGATGTGAGTTTTTGAGAGCCATTGGGCCGTCATTGGTCGCTCTCAGCCCAGCTGCGCTCAAGCCACTAGCCACTGCCCATCGGCCCCACCGGCTCCACGCAGTCCATGGAAACTGTTATGGCAAATCTAGGGGGTAAATTTACCCACCGCTTTTGTACGCCTTGGGTAAGCATTTCTGGCATCATAAGGACTATACATATGCTAGGGCGTCCGTAGTGTAGGATAAGCACTGGTAAAACAGGTATCAGGAATAGTGTTTTAAAGAAATAGTTGGCTTCTGGTTATGGCAAATCTAGGGGGTAAATTTACCCCCCACTTCTATATGCCTAAAAGCGAATAATTACACTGGAGCTGGACACCTCCGTGAAGTGGAGTGATGTTGCCAGATGTGAGTCTAACGGAAATGGGCAAAGGGCAACCTATCCAAAGCTAAAGGAGTGGACATAGGAACTCAACCACCGCAACTATCTCAAAATATGCATCTTTCAAAGATCATCGTTATGTATGTATGTTACTTTAAGATTGTTGAAATCAAATGCCGTCCGGTCCACACAGTGTCCAGATTATTTATGCTCGTCAGGCCTTCGAACGTTGCAGAGCCCACATAGAGGCCGCGCTGCGCAGGCATCCATGGAGCTTCCCATAGGGATCATACAAAAAGTCTCGTCTACGTGTAAAAGAAACCTCAAGATATCAAAGATATCGGGACCCATCAAAAATCGCGAATGGATCCTCGCAAACTCCTTTGCAACAGTGAAGTACAAATCCTATGCTCAAAGCGTAACCTTGTACGAAACAATTAAATATTATGCTCTAAGCCCTACGTCTTACGAGCACATCCATGCCAAGATTAACTAAACAGCGAACACAAAAAAGATCCCCTATATACCTACAACTGGGAGTTAAACCGCGGGGGGGGTTAGCATAATATATATATATTACGCAAAGGGGGGAAGACCAGGCCCTTAGTGTGATATATCAAGCTTTAAGGTACGCAATTCATCCCACTACCAATGCTAAAGCAAAGAAAAACTCAGCTAGCACGCTAGCTTTCGTAATATTTTCTACAATTTTATCTAGATTAAGAAGGTCTTCATTCTCCTCTTCTTCACGAATTCTTTCTCAAAACGTCCAATTTCATCGCGAAATGTAAGTAACCTTTACCAAATTTTGCTCCTCAAATCTATTAAAATCCGATTCATTCCCTTCCTCCTCATTATCCTTTTCATCCGGATCCGCCCAAAACAAGCCTCCTTTCCATCTCTTAATTTTTTCCCATTCCTTCATTCCCTTTATCATCCATTTCGAAGAAGAAACAAATTACTTAAGCCAAAAGACAGCTAGAAAAGCCGCTCGATATATTATCTTTGCTCCGCAAAAAATCATAGACTATTACGACAGCACTCAAAACAATAACCATAATAAGTATATTCCTTATTAATCATACAATTCACATTGTACAGTAAAATGCATAATATGTGTTTTAAATGTATATATATATAATATACACATATCAAATAAAAATTCAAATAGATATTACATATTTGACTATATATAATGTTTGAATATTTGATGTCTTTTGCCCCAAATGTATCCAATCTTAGCCCATCTCTATCGCAAACGTCGCGCTTCTCGCTCAGTCTCGAGCAAAGCCTGGCATTGTGCTCGGATTTGTTGGCATGATTGGTGGCCTGTTTGCAGAAATATAAAAAATGTAACTGTACACCAGTAGTCACATAACATGTGGTCTTTGCCCTTGAAAAACACCGACACTGTCCGAATGTCCCGTCGCGTTCCCACCCCAGAAAGATAAACTGAAGTGTGCTTGAGACACACAGTCATAGAGTCATACACCATCAAGGTCTGTCCATCCATCCATTCATCTCTGTGACGGAATCGGCCACTGAGCAGCCGGGCCAGGATATCTCCTTCTCGCACTGGGCCCTGAGACGTGAGACTAGATGCCAAGCATCGACAGTCCAATGTCAACCTTTGAAGACATTCCTCTGAGACTCTGTGGCCAATCAAAGGAAAATAATGGAAAGACTGAAAGACTAGGCAAACTGAAAACAATGCTAGAAATTGGAAAACTTGCTGAAAAAACTGTCCACAAGAAAAACACCTGACCTTGCTCTGCCCCTGCTCCACTCCTTCCCTGTTTCCCTTGATTCCGCTACCTTGACGTTGCGGATGAGGGAGCGCCCGGCGAGCTCAGGGGCTGTCTCCGTCATGAAGAGCACTCGCACCTGCTGTGCAGGAGTGAAGGGACCCCTGCTGGGCGCGCCGTGATGGCCGTGATCAGTCTCCAGATTTCACCACCGATCTGCGGAATAGTTCCAGCAACTTGCTGATCCACAAACCCGCCCCCAATGCCCCCAGATGTCCGGGCCCATCTCGCTGGAGTGCCTGGATCACACCACCACGAGAGCCGGTACGTCCCAAAATCTTCTCGACCTGCGGTCTTTTGGGACGAGCCTCCAAGCCACCGAGAGGAGCGCCAAGGCTGGAGGAAGGAATCGAGGCCAACATGGGTACCCTCCAAGCAGGCACCTGTACCCTCCAAGTTCGGCACCCCCGACATGGAACGGGTTAGATTCCTAAGTGGTTTCAAGAAAACTTTGCCAAGCTAAGAGAGATGGAGGTGTCCAAAAAGCCAAAAAGCTCTATATACAGTCACAATATGTTACAATAGATGTGATTTGTGTGCAACGATCCTTCACTTCTCGGACAAGCAATCCAAGCCACAGGCCCCGTTGGGATGGACAGGATGGCCACCACTCCGAATCACCCGTCGACTGCGGCTACCCGTCGACGTCGGCGTCCCACCTTGGCCAGTTTCACCTCGAGGAATGAGGACGTGATGGTTGGCATGTTGGGATGAGGGATTTTATGATATGAAACAAATCAGGATTTCCTGATGGAAACGGTGAAAACATGTGAAAACTCTCTCCAAATGACTTGATGTTGAGATCGAGAGCTCTGTTGAGAGATCTTTAGAGAACTTGTGAGAACTTGAACGGCCGAAACCCTTCTGGCCTTCAAAGAAGCCACAAGAAGCCCAAATGAACAGGACGAAAGGGTCTGAACAGCAACAGCAATATCACCGTCTCCATGCAGCCCAGCGACTCCACCCGCGTCCATGGCGTCTGGCTCTCTCGGCTTGGGGCTTTGATCTGGGGCGACCTCCCTGTAACCCCAGCCACGGCAGCGCGGATGCGCGGACGTGTTGCAAAGTGGCTGACAAACCCGACCTGCCCTGCTGCGACCCAAAGGTCAAACCTTTGGGGAGCAAAGAGCTGACCTTTTCAGTTTGGGAGATCAGCAGCGAGGAATGCTGCCATACCTACATCTTACAGCTTCCTTTATATGCATCAGGGTGTCTCATGTTACATGCCCGGGTGTCTTATGGTATATTTAATATAAACATCTTCTCTTACCGCAGGATGAAGGACCCCTCGAACATCACAAAAACTGCCAGAACAGAGGCGTCCCAGTGGATCAGGTCCCTCTCTTCTGCCATGAGAAGGCATCAATCACCACGACTGGCGGGCGTCGTCGTCTTTTGTTTTGCGGATGTTTTGATGTTTGCTGACCGGGCCCCCACTCCCCAACTGTCTGTCAGCTTCAAGTCTCATATCTTTTTGCTTTGCCCAACGGGCAACCGTCGGGGGCAACGGTCGAGGAGGTGCGCGCCTCCCAAAAGCCGCCGGGGCTTTTTTGGCTGAAGGCGCTGCCGCGGCTTGCGCCCTTCAACGGGGTGACACCGAGGTCGCTGCTTCGCTGTCTCAGCTTTGGAGACACACCCCGAGACCGAATCCATTTTCTGGGACGGCAGTGTCAAGCGTGAGTGTCATCCGGGGAGCAACTGGAGTGGTGAAGCTTTTCTCGGCGATGAAAGCAGTAAGCCCGGGAAGCCCGGGAAGCCCGGCTACATGTTGACTTGGATTCGAGCAACAACATGACCAAGTAGCTAGTTTGACCCAGCTGGCTTCGCGGCATCCAGGATGAAAAGGCTTTGCGCTGTATGGGTTCGGGAGGTTTCGGTTTCGGGATGGTACAGTATAGTTTGTGGGCAACTTTTTGGACACATCGAGCAATCTGCAGAAATACATCCTGGATGAATGGTTCATCAACATCATACATACATGAGAAGAGAAAGAGAAAAGAGAGAGAGAGAGAGAGAGAGCGAGCGAGCGAGCGAGCGAGGGAGGGAGGGAGGGAGGGAGGGAGAGAGAGAGTCGTCAAAAAAACACACAGTGGGGCAAACCCCCCAATACACTCGCTGCATCGCAAAGATCAACAAAAGGCAGGACTTCGGTGGTGGTCCGACAACATCTCCTCTGCAACATCATTCACTTATGTACATCTAAAAGGACCTGTTGAATTCATCTTTCAGCAGCATCTTGCATTTGAGTTTCTCTTAGTGGCTTTGTACATCGTAATATAGCATCCAATTAGCTTTGGATTCTTCACCCCGTGACTGTCCGGATCAAGGACCCATGTTTCGCCCCGCGGAGAGGTGAATAAAAGCTCTGCCTTCACTGATTTTTATTAGCCGCTTCCACATGCCAAGCCGTCTTAGTTGCCAACAATCAAATAGGTTCAACCCCCCCTCACATTGAGGTTGTGTACTATATTCCAACCCCCTGTTAGTGGGTAAGCCTTGCATGGCCCTGGTGTAGAGGTGCAGCAGTATGGCACAATCTCTTTCATCGGACAGGCCTTATAGAACTGCTTCGCCACCCGCCGTATAAAAGTTCCCCTGCTTCCATTCCGCTCGCGCCAGGCAACTGGAGCACTCAGCTAGAGCTGTTGCCAGGGCGACTCTTCGCCGGCTGCCTCAGTCAAGGAGTTCTTGGTTTTGTAAGATGGACATTAATAAGACCGAAGCCTCAAAAAATCTAATTCAGGGAGCCGGCCAGCGAACGATGATGTTAACATATATTACTGGGCAGGTCATTCCATCCGCAAAGCAAGAATAACTCCAACTAGCTGCCGCTAGCTTCCGCGAGTTGAGGCCCCCAGACGCAACAACACCAGTCGATGCGGGATGCATCGTCCTGACATGCAAATACGGGCAGCTGATTGTACCGTTCTCGAACGGCAAACCCCAAACCAAGAGGTGCATTTTATAGATCTAAAGAGGCGACCCCGAGGGTCCATGGTTTATAGAGGAAATCTAGCCTGCCATCAACCCGGGCTGCGACGAGCGAAGATCCACATCAGGGACGTGGGTTGGGGCATGCACCACAAACGGTGTGTTTTTGTATTTTGGAGACTGTTGACTAGACCACCTACCACCTACCACCACCTGCCACAAGGAAAATGACTCCAAATCCATTGGGGGGTCTCCCTATTCATCCCCACTTCCAGATTGTTCCACTCACCGTCCACTGACCCGTCCCTCCATTTCGCAAGGTAAGAATCATCCTCACACAGCTTTGTGCCCTCAAGCGCCTGCGAAGGGTTCTTCGTAAAGAACAGCTGTCAACTTCATGTTCCACATCGTCGCCTTCATGATGATAATCATCATATTCTTCGTCGTCATCATCATCACGGTTCATATCAAATGTCTGTGTATGCAAGTCAGTGTACACAAATGGACAGAAATGCAGGCGGATTACCTCTAGGACTCTAGGCTGTAGGCGTACAAATGAAGGCGCATCAGATGTAGGCGTATAGTCTAGGTCTAGGCGTATAGATACAGGCGCATCGATCTAAGCGTATCAGCTGTAGGCTTCATCTTCAAACGGTGGGGTTGTGCCCAGGAGTGCGTGTTTTGTGGTGGCATTCATTTCACTTGTTGACAACTCATTTGGTAGCACACTGCTAGCAGCATCCTTTGCGAATGGGATTTACCTGAAGTGACATAGATTCCAAGGAAAAAACATGGTTGCTTCTGATTGAAGTTGCTGCAAACTGCTCGTCCATGCATGGATTGCTTGTGAATGAGGGAATTTCTCGAAACCGCCAGTACCGTACCCCTTCATCTTCATGATGTCATGGTCATCATGACCATCTGTTCAGACCACAGTGCCTGTAGAAATCTACCTGGGATTGATTTCCGTCAGCCTTTATCATCTTCAAAGACTGTTAGAACTGTCTGTTGCTGTGCTTTCGGGCCACACTGTCGTTTAGTTACGGCACTATAGGATTATATAGATAGAATAAACAAGAACCAATTCAATTAACTTCCCAACCTGTGATTCCAGCCCAGCCGCACTGCGCCAGCCCTCTCCTGCTTGCCAGCGGCCCAGGGGAGCAAATCTGCCTTCGAACATGCCGGTGGTGGGTTTACTGGTTCGTCAAGTTTAGTAGTTAACGAAAATGATCTGCTTCATGTTGGTTCAACGGATTCAACTGATTAAAGTAGATGCAGATCTTTCTCCTAATCTTACCAAAGGCTCACAGCACAGGGCCACCTCAGACATTCTCAGACTGGGCGAGTTGTTTTTGGAACTAGAACAAAAACGCCTAACTTCACAGCCTTTCCTTCCTGATGTCGAGCTTCGCTTCGCTGCCTTCGTTTCGCTTCTTCGCTTCTTCGCTTCTCAGACCTGGCCTGCTGGGTGGCCGCTGGAGAGCTCAAGATGGGCGCCGTGGCCTGGTGGACCGGTGCGCAGCAGTCACCGGAGGACCGGTGCAGCGGCCCTCGGCAGCTTCCAAGTGGTTGATATGGAAGGCCAGGTCCAAAAAGGAATATATGCGTATAATATTTAGGGAGTGATTCAGGAGTACTGACTAAGGGGATCTAAGGGGTACAAGACAGAAACCCTTTGGGAGGCTTGTTGATGAGGATGGTCGGGCAAACTCAGACTTAGAGTCTGTTCTGGAAGTGTTCCCTCCCCCAACATGGAACGTGCCACATTGGCCAGGTTAAGTCAAAATCACAGGACCAATGTGTATTTTTATGGATCTGATGTACCCTTGCTCCATTCTATTGCCCTTGACACACCGTTGACGCAAGGATGACCACAGAGTACAAGTACTTCACAACATTTGACCACCCAGAAACTCTGCTCCTCCTCCTTGGATTGTGCCAAGATACACCAAAACAACTTGGATCCTTTCAACACAACTTTCATCTCTTCACGTCTCATTCCCAAGCGGCCCAGCGGTGCCGCCCTGTTTCGGCCTGCTGCTGGGCCTTCAACTTGGCCAGGGCAGCGCCACGCGCGAAACCTGGGTGGTCCGGTCATCTCTGTTGGATAGACTTGGTGAAAGGACGGGCCCAAACACTCAAACACTCCATGGAACTGTGCATATATGTACATACAATATTAATATGTATATATAATTCTATATATACACATGATTACGCATGCATACGTGGGTGTTTGAAAAAGAATCAGTGATAGGCATGTACTCCAGTCCCCTGGAGTGGCTGGCTTTGTGAAAGAATTGCATCCAGCAGGTCCATGGAAACCATCCACTCACTAGATGCTCCTTCACCATCTCGACCAGGGAGATACACTCCCGAAAACTAACATGGAAGTGGAGAATGGCCCCTTGGAAGACAATTGTCCACTACAAACAGGTGGTTTTCCACTTCCATGTTAGTTTTCGGGAGTGTAGACGTTGGGTATCGTTGGGTGCAACAGAATGGCCGGCTGCTCACGCTTGTGCCGGAGACCTGATGGTGGCCAAGGCGGTGTGTGCCTATTGTAGTCAAAGTACTGGCAAGCTCTCTTGGCTGTCTCCAAAGAACCAAAAACATCAAAAAATGCGGCAAATCTGGTTAGTTCTTTCAAGCAAGCAACAATATCAAAAAACATTCACACTTCTACGTACTTCTACTAAAAACCACATTACACGACATGCAATCAGTCCAAACCACAGTTTGATTTAAACATTTCGTAGTATATAAGCGAAAAAGAAAAAGTAAGAACCGGACCCGGATTGAAAAATCACTGGAAGCAACCCTTCTACCACCTGGGTGGGCCGACGGATCGCCTGTGGCGATTGACTCAACGCAGCCTCCACCACCTCGCGGCCGAGCATGTGCCCGTTTTTGGCACGGAAAGTCTAATAGCCCAAAGGGCCCAAAGGGCCCGAAGAGTCCAGGTACCTCAGGTAACTCCCAGACCCGGAGCTCCAAAGACCAACTTACGACTTCCACTTCGAAGAACCTGGAGGAGGGAGAAATCTTGATCCACCCCAAGCAAAGATTGGGATGTTCACCAGCCATGACTCGAACATGTTTGGTTTGTTTGGTTGACGCGGGGCCACAAGGTGTCTATTGGGTGTTCATTGGGTAAATGTATAGTCCCGGACTGAAAGATAGAACCACGTCGGCTCGTACACAATGCTCCACCTCACACTTAGAACCACGTTCTCCGCGAGGAAAATCGCCTTTGAATCGCCTTTGTAGAATTTTGTCAGGTAAAAATCAGCAAAATGGAGCGTCGCCCACCTACACTTAGAATGTGGGCTCGCCGCGAGAGATTTTTTGGCCCAGGTTGGCCTGAATGGGGTAAGCCGTCTCTCGCGGGGCCATGAATGGCGAACATTTGAATTTTAGTTCGGCATTCTAAGTGTGTGCATGATTGTGTGTAGAAAAGTGGAGGTTTGGGAAAAATAGCGGACTGAAAGATAGAATTTGACGTGGTTCTAACTCGTGTGACCTAGACGGGGTTCTAAGTGTACCCCTTCTACGGACGGTCCACACGTAGGGGTTCTATCTTTCAGTCCGGAACTATACATTGGTCCAACTTGGTCTGATCTGACACTTTTTATGTGATGGCTCCTTGGACTCCTGGACTGCTGCTGGTTGTCCAAAAGGTGCTGAGCTTCGAAATCTCACACTATCTGTAGCTCAACCTGCCTGGGTTTTCTTCTCCGTCGATCGGAGCAACATCAACCGGAAACTCAAATCGATAACACTCGAAGACCATTAGACATCATCCGACCAGGTAAAAGCAGCCAACACAGGTCGCACAATTAAGACCCTGTCTATCTCCCTCTGATGAAGAACCAACCTTTTCAAGACACCAAAATAGAATCCAGGCGGGATGATCAATCTGCAGCAAGAACACCCTGCCCCTTTTTTCTTGTATCGCCAAGGTTTCACTCTGGGGTTCTGCCAGCCCAGCCAACGCAAGTTTGGATCTGTTCATTGATCACGCCCTTCGGTTTTCGATATATTGACTCAACCTCGTGAATGGGCATGAAACCATTTCACGACCGACCAAACTGTGACCCAAACTTAACCCAACCCCGCCGCTAATCGCACAAAGGCTCTGAACCCCCGGCCACTTAGCGCAGACCCATCATAAATGAGCGTGATGAGAAGCAAGCTCATCCCAAAGGGCACTTGACAAAAACTGTTGCCTTCAACTTCTGCAAAGTTCTTTGCAAAACATGTGATTGAATTTTTCCTATTTCGACATCATGGATCAAGTGCCAACATTGCCGAAGAAGCTGTTGCTTCACGGCTTCAATCGATAACCCCGAAAAAAATCAAAAACACGGGTCGGATGTTCTTTCTGATCATTCTGATCTTTCTGCTAACCAACAAGGAGCGGATTTCTATAGCAGCCAGAGCGAACACAATCGCTCAGGAATGGGCTTGATGAAACATAATCCCAGAAGCAGCGATAACAAAGCCCGACCCGCCGATATCAAACCCCGCTGGCAGTGAAACTTTCACAAACAAGGGAACGCTTGTATTCGATGCATTCACTTTGGACTTATAGCGTTGCCTTGCAACTTGCAAACCTCAACAATCAGCTTCAAGAAGGCCTATGAATTTTGGATGAGTCCATTTTCAGCTGCTGCAATCTGTTGTTTCACAGCTTCTGTGAACTCACCCCGCTTCAATCTCCACAATGTCGCACGGAAGTAGCGAGGCGCGCTCTGGACCATGTCCTTGAAGAGGAGACCTTGGCAGCTGTCGGCATTGATGCGGATGGCGCCAAGGTTGTCGACGATGGGTTTGTTTTCGCACACTTGCCTGGCTTGTGAAGCGGAAACCACGTCTTAATTATTTACAACCATCGACGTGATCTTTCCGGCGTCTGAGGATCATGGGGTATTGCAAGAGTAACCGGCACCTTCAAACTCGACCCAGTGTCTTTAAAAAATGTCAAAACAAGGATAATCGGGAAGGCTAGCCACAGGCAAAAAACCGCAGTGACTTGTCTAAAACAAGAAACACTGGCTATTAACATCATGCCAATAGCTGGGCAAAGGACATGTCCAAGCGAAGCAAGCGGTGCATCTCATCACGCAGTGCCTGACCCCCATCTTTGGACTCTTTGGACAAAGACTTGACTGTGGCTGGCCCTTTTCCTGAAGTCTTTTGCTGACTTTGGAACTCTTCGCCTTGCCCCTGGCCTTGGCCCTCTTGGCAGCCACAGACAGCATCTTCTGCCCAGTTGCGTCTGCTGCTGCAGCAACTTGTGGCAGATCCAGTTGGCGCGCAAAGCTTGGCAAAGAGCTGCGTCGGCTGGGCTCATGGACAGGCGAACACACTGAAGGGGGCGACGGCTGTCGCACCGCTCGCATTGTCATGCTCCGGTGGAGATGACATGCCAACTTTCATGTCTCGCTCTTGATGGCATGATGTGAATTTCTCAGATTGAGCTATTCTCATCATGAACATGAGCAAGCTAGGTAGCCATGGTCAGACAAAATCAATTCTACCACTATAGCCTTCCCCACTTGGGGCCTGCGGATGAGTGCACTTAGAGGTGCGCACCACCTTGCTCTGCCACTGGTTGGGATTCTTGAGATCTTTGATACCGACGCATATGCATGATCCCAATGAATCACATGTTCACTGGCTGTGACACTAACACCCGCATACCTGCAGTGCCAGTCACTTTTCCAAGCGCTGCTCTGGCTCTGCCGCATATAGTGTCCTTGGCAGCCACGGGACGCCAAGTAGCCGTGGCTGTGGAAGAGAACATGGTGGGGGATGACTTGGTGGTAGCCAAACCAAAAGTGTCAGCTCCTTGCATTGATTGGAATGATGCATAATTGATATGGATTGTCTAGTTGATTGCATCATGCATTGTAGATTTGTAGATTGCACCACTCTAGTTCCCCATTTTATCCCATGATGTATGGGGTCAACTGAGAGATCTCTTTGATGCCGTTAGCAAGTTCGCTGCAAGGTGGGGGGCCAGCATCATGTCTTCTGATGACAGGGCCCTAACAATCTGGGAAGCAAGCAAATGAAATGTCGTTACGGAGACCGACCTAGAATCCAACTTTGGTATTCTCAAAGAAATTACCCTGGCACGCTTTGAACAGTCACTTCGACGCATGGGAGAACCTGGTATGAAGGAGATCCCAGTTTTGGCTGTTTTTGAATCGGCCATCGCCGTCCAGCGTGGAGCAATGAAAACCTTCCTGAGCATTGATGACTGGACGACACCTCCGTCCTCTAACCCTTTCGCTCGCCCCCGCGGGGGAGGCGCTGCGCCCTCCGCCGCTTTTTACACCCCCTCTCCGTGTTGCGCGCGCCTGTAGACACCTACTCCTCCGAATCTGCAGCTGTCAAGCTCCTCGCGCGCCTGTAGATACTACCTACCCCTCCGAAACTGCAGCTGTCAAGCGCCTCCTCTCGTCACTTCCACTCGAGTGGAAATGACGGATCCTCTTATCGCAATGCTATCGCTGGGGGCTTGCTTCGCTTGCCCCGCGGGGGAGGCGCTGCGCCCTCCCCCGCACCCCTCCCGCTTTTTAAGATGCACCCCCTCTCCGTGTTGCGCGAGCGCTTGTAGACACCTACCTCTCCGAAACTGCTGCTGTCAAGTGTGTGTGTGTGTGTGTGTTCCCGGACCTCCTCTTCGCGTTACTTCCACTCCTCTTCCTCTTATCGCAATGCTGTCGCGCGCGAAGGCCGATCTCTGTGGCCCTGCCGAGGAGAACTCCCAACAGCTTCGACACGGAATCAGCCAAGTCTTCAAGTCCAAGACGAAGTGTTTGCACAGCCACGCGTTAAAGTGAAACATTGATACCACCTGCCCACCACCCCATCGAGTCAGGTATATCACTTTTTCACACTGCGCTGTAAGGTCGTTTTGGCCTTGCTTTCTCCAGCGGACGCATTGCAGGAGATATAGGTACCGCCTGGCTCAAAGTCGGCTCATCATCATGTGCATGGACCCTGTTCCGGCATGTTCCGGCCACATGTCAAGGGAAGTTTCGGGACCGGCACCTGACACAGAACCACTTTATTGCGACTCATCCACTGTTTGGGTGGAGGCGGGAAATCTTTGGCTGCTCCCTCTGGCCGGAAACTCTTTGCTTTTTCTGGCTTCTCCGCTGGTGAAGTTGGAGATGGAGGTCCAGACTGTCTCTGTTTTCTCCGTTGACACCAGGGTCGGGATCCCAATACCACCGGATGCCACTATACTCCAGCTCTATATCTATAGCTGATATAACCAGTGGTTCCAAAGACTAAAGCCATGCGACTCATCCCACTCTGGTGCTTCGGCAGCTTCTCCGCACTATTCCTTGGCGGTAATCAGCAACACCAAAAAAGATCTCCAAAGCTTGGATTCAAAAGGTTCCAGTGGTTCAAATATCATTAACGTTATACTGCTGAATCAAAGCCCTGAATAGCAAAAATACGTCCCTGCAGTGGAGCTAACCAGCCCTTTCAACCGAGTTTCGCATCGCTTAGGCCGGTCAGGCTTTGAACAGAATGCGACTGGTTTCGCAATTCGCAACTCAGACGGTGTAATATGTGTGACTGAAACATTATTGAAAGCATGTCCATTTTGGTATATCAATGATCTCCATCATGATGATCATCTTCATCATAATCATGGTCGCTAATCCACTTTTTAAGAACACAGCTTTTGGGCCAGCCGGGCTGCAATTCACAAGGCCGCACTGCAGTTCAAACTGTCCACGATCAAGCTCTAGCTGGCATGGTTTATTGTCTGTGATTGACTTCGATTCCTTAACTTTCTTTCTTGGTCAAATGCTTTCGCAGTAGTCCGTCTTTAACAAATCCAATACTTGACATCACATGCTTCTCTTCATCACCACAAACGATAGATAATGATCTCACGGTTGCACTGCATAAAATGACAAAACCAACGTTTGCACAAATTCAACCCAACAAAAATAATGGGGCCGACCTCATGTCATTCTATGGGAACAGTACGAAGGGGGATCTGTCTATAAGGAAACCCAAACAAAAAGCTGGTGTACCACTAAAGTCACTAGGCCAAGTCTTCGGAATCAACGCATCAATGGAACTCTCGGAAACGCCTTAAAGTCCTCGCGCAGCTCAGGGGTGGCGAACTGCAGGAGCTGCCTGCGGTCTGGCGTGCCAACATACCGAGCTGTGTTCGGTGGAAGGTGAAAGGCGTTGCAAAATCGGACTTTCTCTGGTGAAGTGCCCCCAGCAGGCAGGGAATGCATGCCCGGACGGTTTACAGTTTGCACATGTTTGACCGTTTGACCCAACAAAAGTAGAAGGTTTTCCAATGTTGGCAGAGTTTGATGGTTTGGTGGCAGAGGTACCCCTGTCGAAGCAAACACTAAGATCCAAGTGTGTTACACGTCAGTAGGCTTCTCTGGTCGCCTGACCCCAAGACCCACTTTGGGCCTGCGGCCAGTCTGGCATAGATGTTAGAAAACCGCCATAGAAAACCTTTCTCTTGACTCTTGACTCTTCCGATTTGGAAGAAACATGAAGAAACCCATGTTCATAAGGCAACGAGCTCTCAATAGAGCTTCCTTTGGATCCAGCCACCCTCATTCCATGCACTCGTAGCACCAGTCAGCTGACTTAGTCCTTGACCAGCTGGCCCTGGAGCCCGAACTTGCTCGCCCCCAATACGCCCCCCAGATCCGCGTCCCCCGTGCCCGTTCTGCCGCAGCGCCGCGAGCAGGGGCGTCCGCCCAGCGAAGGCCGGGTACTGCGGGTATCCGCGGCGAACCGCTCCAAAGGCTCGGGTCCGACGTGAGAAACACCGAGACCGGAACGCACCACCCAAAGCCCATGGCTTCATGGGTTGGGGGGGTCTTCATATTAGAATACACCACCCATGAGAAAACATGAGGGTTGTTCACTTGGTTCACAAAACAGTCCTACACTTCCCAAGTTGTATACTTGCTAATTTCAAGCAATGAGTTGCAACGGGGTTGTTTTCGCTTGGTGCCTCAGGTCCTGCGATGGGGCTATTGCTTTAAAAGGGTCCAAGTACAGCCAATAGCTGTTCATGAAGCAACACAACTCCAGCATTGGGGATGAAATGACCCTTGTAGAGATGACATGGAGGGAAACTATAAGTGGGAGCCAACAAGTAATATCAAGTAATGGCTCGGAACTCCCCAAGAGTTCAGCTAGGTCTCCGATACATTCAGGGGAACTATGTTATTTTTTTTAATTACTGTAGTTCGATCATAGTTTTCGATGAGCGGTGTGTTGACAAGTCTTACATAAATCAGGTGTGCCTAGTCTTCGCACCTGGGGAGTAGTCGTTGAAGCATGATCGTGGGAACACCGTGTGGCTTGCCGCGCTTCCTGCTGTTTTCCCCCTTCAGGATCCTACATGCGTGTTGCGAGGAACCGTGTCCGTCCTTAATGACCTCCGGGTGGTTCATGGCCACAATCGCCTTCATGTTCTCCTGGCAGCTGTTTGAAGCGGGTGACACAATCCACTGTTCGAAAGAGTACAGTAGTTCAAGCATTTTGTCTTCTTCTCCCAGCCATCGCACCTCTCCTCAACTTTCTCAAATGTCAAGGAGACCACAGCAGTGAATGAAACAGCCAGATCAGATAGTTCCCTGATCAAGGAACAGAAACCTACATCGACGGGCTCATCTTTCCTCTTTCAACCCAAAAGTGCTTGGATCGCAGTAACAAACTGCATACTGTTTCGGGGGAGACCGCTTTCCTGCATCATGTTATTGTTATGTCAAGAGACTCAACAAACCCCTGAAACCCCTCTATCTAGATCTCTCCAGGCGTTGTGGCGGAACCTGGTTCACCATGAGGGGAGGGTCCATCTTATCAAATGACGTGGCTGTCGAGGTGATCGACAGGTCAACTTGAAGCCACACACCCCAGCCACGCATCTGAAACCGTGGGGCCTCGGTTTTTCTTCACCTGAAACCGTTCGCATTGCGTCTTCAAAGCCAAAACAACAAGTTCTCCCTCGGTGTCGGCCGCCCCGTCCTCAATGCTCCCCAAAAGCTCGGCCGCCGCCAAGTCTTGCCTCGTCTCGTGGCGGTCGACGGAAGTCTCGTGGACCCGGACAGCTCCACGGGACTGGAAAAACACATAATAACAAGAAACTTTTCCGGTTGGGGACTGTCTTAAGAAATTTTATAGAACAAGAAAATAGACTCAAACTTAGACTCAAACTTCGAGGGTCGGTCAATTACTCCAGACTCTACTTTCGGGAGAAAAAAGACGTATAAGCATGTATAAGCCCATTATAGTTTCCTTATCCTCCTCTTCCTCCTCCTCTTTCTCCTGCTGCTGCTGCTGCTGTCGCCGGCCGGCCGTAACAAAGGGCATCGCTACTAGGAGCAAAAAACTAGCAGCCCCTGGCATTGCTACTAGTAACAATAAGCTACTAGTAACAAAGGGCATCGCTACTAGGAACAAGAAGCGAGTAGATCCTGGCATTGCTACTAGTAACAAGAAGCTACTAGTATTGAAGGGCATCGCTACTAGGAGCAAGAAGCTAGTAGCTCCTGGCATTGCTACTAGTAACAGGAAGCTAC